TTTTGTCTTTTCTTTTTTGCTTTAAGTCTCTTCTTCCCCCTTTTGGTCACATCAAGTCATTTCACCTCCTTTACTTCCTCGTTAAGCTATCCCAACCTTCGCCTATAAAAGAAAGGTCCCTTCCTCATTCTAGGCAGGTCTCGAGTTCTTCCTTCTCAGTCCATCTCTCTGTTGTCTTCATTTCTCTCTTCAGCTCTCTGTTCTCCACTCGACCACGACTACTGCTGTCCTGACCTCACAGCCATAATCCATCTCATGCTATCCAGGTTTTTCCTATCTTCTTGATACACCAAAACCAGGTTCTCTCTTATCTTCTTATCTTAGTTTTCTTTGTTTAAATGTGTGATTGTAACTTTCATACACTCCCATCATACTGTCATCACAATTGGAAGTTATTCTCCAGTTATTGTATCTGTAAACAGTAAGTACTTGTTTATATTTGCTTTACAGTCAGTTTGATTATGTTTCAGTCGGTTAGATTATAGTTTGTAACAGATAATATGATTTGTAATCTGTAATATATGGTTTAAAATTTTAATGCAGTTTAAACTTGTCTTCAGTATTAAAATAGGTGACCACACACACACATCATGGTTTGTTATTGACATTTTTGTTATTCCTTTTATCATAATAATCTTATTTTGCCTTAATTATATTCGAATATTACAATAATTAATTAAATATAATAGTATGCTCTTTGCTTACTCGTTATAAAGATATAAAATTATAAAGATGGTTAATCACTGTAGATTTGGGATCGTTTTGGTATCAGAGCCAACAGTAAACTGTTAAAAGAGTAAAAGTTACAATATTACTGTAGAAACCTAGTTAAATTTACATCTAAGAAAGTTGGTCCGAGAGTTAAGACAAGAGACGAAAGGACAAGTCTAGGCAAAGTACCCGCCAAGGCCAGGAAGAGCCGCTTAGGGGAAAACGCTGGACCCTTGATCGTCCAGATTGTCATTATCCGCAACCTACAGATGGCAAATTTAATTAGGAATCTTAAAGGTAATACTGCAACACAATTTCAAACATTAAGAGTTAAAAATAAAGAGGAAATTATTATAAATGATATTGAAAATCATATCCAAAATTGGAATATTCCTAAGGTACCAATAAAAGATATTTATCATAAAGGATCATTTAAATTCAAATTAGGTTATGCTATAAAAACAGTAGAAGAAAGTCTATCTGTAACTCAAAACCAATAAGACTTTCAATTATTATCAAGGAAAATTATTGAAAAACATAAATAGAATAATTATAAATATTTACACATTGGATTGATCCAAATGGCTATTAAACCTTTAACCCGACTAGGGTTAAACACCTCAGTGCTTGTATGCATAAGAGATACAAGACACAATAACTTCTCAGATTCACTCCTAGGCATTGTAGAATCCAGCTTATGTAGTGGACCTATATATTTTAATTGCTTTCCAAATTTTTCTGTTTCTTTAACAGACCCAAATATATTAAATATATTATCTATAAATTTGAAAACTCATGGATTCAATATGATACATGGTTATCAGAATTTAGCAATAGTATACAGAATTTATTATAAGGTAATGAATACTCTTTGTCCTAATATTATGCAAGCTGATAAAAAAGATCAAACTATATTATTTCAAACCAATATAGAAAAATCAAATACAGTTGTACCCAAAACAATTACTTGGTCCGATATTATTCTACCTCAATCTTGGGCATTACAACATGCAAACCAACCCCAAGAAGTACTTAGCAATAATATTCCAAAGAAAATAATTGAACATCCAGATGGAAATATTGAAATAAAATTCCAATAGCCTATAATACAGGATGACTAAATATTAACAGGAAAAGAAATAAAAAACCATTAATACCTGCTAAGAAATCCTGTCCTACTACTCCCGATGTTATCATACTTCCGTCTTCATCTACATCTACACTATCTTCAGATTTTCAACTACAAAGAGTCAAAAGAACAGCTGATCATGTAGTCATTCCTACATATACATCTGAACCACATATAGAGGAATTTCAAATACTTACATTACAAATAGAAGGTGATATAGAAGAAGAAATAAATAATACATATTTCACTGTGAAAGTAGAAAAAACAAAGAGAAAAATAGATATTAATTATCTCAAAAAAGATTATCTTTCTTTAGAAAATCAAGGGATTAGGGAATGATATCTTCAAACCTTCCAACCTAGGTTAATAGAATTATTTCATAAAAAATACAATAAATTTCTCAAAAAAGAAAGAGAAACAAAATGATTCTTTATATAGTTACAAGAAATATGCATTCAACATAAAATTAACATTCCTCCATTTAATACTCTCAAAACCATAGAAGAAAAAACATACATAAGTACGGATGGTACTACTACTGCTAGCACACACCCTCTTGAAAAAAATATAATACTCAAAGGAGTAACCCCATTACGTAAAGGAGAATCATCACAATCTTTATATGATATAATTGCCACACCATATAAAGTCCTACCTAAAGAAATAGGTAAAAAACAAGAACTTATTCCCCATATTGTGAAACAAAATAATTATACTAATTTATATATGCAATCTTTAGGAAAACAAGCAGAACGTATAGAACGACTAGTTTATAAGGAAATAACTCCTTCCCTTCTTAAAGCAGTTCTGTTCAAACCACCTCCAGAACTTAATAAAAATAAATTTCATATTGGTGAAAATAATAAAACCTTAATGGATCAGTTAATAGCCAAATTAGCCCAATTAGATATTAAAGGAATTCCTTCTCCCAAACTCAGTATTCTTATACCAAATATACCTGTTCCATTACCAGAATCTTCAGATAAAGGAAAATAAAAAATCTCAGAGCATGAAACAACGATGCTTCAGGAAGTGGAACCAATTATAGAAGACACCATACAAAACCAATAAAATGCTTGAATGGATACTACACCTATTGATATAAATAGAATAGCCTATGGTAAAACATGGAAACCAATCACAGCTTTGCCATATTATAAAAGACCTATACCTGTTAATGTTCAGCTTGAAGAAGATGCAATACAACAAGTTGTTTCCTATTCCGGAAGATCAATAGTTAATTGGACAATAGACGGTTTACCTGAATTAAAAATACTAGATGTCATGAGACATATGACAATGTTTGCTTCTGCAAACAAGATGGCAGGCAATCCAGACCAAGAGGTTCCTAAAGCAATAGTCAATGGATTCACTGGCTGGTTAAGAGGATGGTGGGACATCTATGTAGATGATGAGACTAAAAATAGAATCCTTACCAATACAAGGCAATGGACCGCCAGAAATGAGCAAAATCAAGAAATAATTTATACTGAAAGTGATGCAGTAAACACCTTAATATATACCATTACACTCCATTTTGTAGGAAGTACGGCCTTATTGGCAGCAAGATCAGAGGATCTGCTATCTAATCTTCGTTGTCCTACATTATCCCATTATAAATGTTATAAGGATGTATTTTTCTCACGATTACTAATACGAGAAAATTATCAATTAGACAATTGGAAATAAAAATTTATTGCCGGTCTACTCTATTTATTTACAGAAAAAGTCAAAGATAGACTTAGAAAGAAACATAATGGAATTATAATATACTCGACATATACACTTGGAGAACTCTCAGCAGAAAGACAGTTAGATAAACAGCAAATTATCAAGCGTAAAGAACTCAGTGATTTCTGTGAACAATTTGGATACCATTTAGATAGAAAAAATACCCCTGAAAAATTATATAAGAAAAAGAAAAAATATAAAAAAGACAAATACAAATCCAACACTAATAAAGTACATAAAAAATATAAAAGGTCTAAACAAAAATTTATAAACAAATTCTCTCCCGATACAAAAAATAAAAAGAAACTTCCAGTATGTTATAAATGTGGAAAAGTTGGTCATTACAAACACCAATGCAAATTAAAAAAGAAAATAGAATCATTACACTTAGATGAATCAATCAAATCAAAATTATATAATATAATCAATTATGATTCTGAATTCTCCGATTATACTGAATCACATATAGAACATATTCAAGAGGATGATCTTTTATGGACAGAATCATCTGACTCTTCCGATTCTTCTACAAATACAGAATCATCTCATCCAATGAACGAATATAATTGTACTTGCCCTATACCTACACATAATCTTCATATGCTTACACAAGAAGATAATCTAATATTAGATCTTATTGAGAAAATTACAGATTCAGAAGAGAAAAGAACTGTAATCACAAAATTCATTACACTAACTAAAACAAAAGCAAAAACACCTTCTGTTAGTAAAACACCTGATGAATACAATTTTGTTTCTATTATGAAAAGAGTAAGTGAACAACATACCTCTCAACACAAAAAACCTTCCATTTCAGACTCAAAACAGGAAATCAAAGAAGTAAAAAAGGAAGTACATCAATTTATATATATATATATATATATGGGAAATTGGATAGTGTTTTGGCCCACCACACACATGTTATGTATACGACGGTTTTGCTACAAAAATCGTCATGGATCTATGGGAGCCATGATGGTTGCCCGTATATTTTTGCATGAAAAAAATACCGCTACAACCATACTATATCTGTTGTATTACCGCAACAGACATGCTATGTCCGTGTACGGTCTTTTAATCTATGTCTGAATAGATCGGATGGTGTCGAGCCTATAGGGGCGAATATTCTAAGCGCTGCATAATCTCTTCCAAGGAGTCCGATAATTCGAATTGCATTTGTAAATGTGGATGTATACTATGCTCTCATGAGAGCATACTATACATCTACACCCTGAAGTAAAATGCTTACTTGGGAAGATATTTAATCTCATATTTTGAGAACCATATTAACGAACAAATTATTTTTTTCAAAAAGGCATATATTAGATTTAGAGTATTTTAAAACTTAGATCTGACCA